ATCCAAAATCTGAAACGTAAGAAGCTACTTTATTTTGCAGTATATTTCCAGTATGAAAATCCTTATGACAATATCCTAAATTTTGTAAATTAATAAAGCCAGTAGTAATATAATATAATGTTTCAATTTTTTCTTTCCATAAAATATTGTTAAAATTATTTGAAAGACTATTTCTCAAATTTCCGTTACATAAAAATTGCACAATCATAATAAATTCTTTGGTTTCTGGATCCTTAATTATTCCATAAAAATGCAATGAAATATATTTTTTATTATAAATATCCCAATGTGCTTTAAGCTATTTTTTAATAAAAAATTAAGAAAATTAGAAATATTCTATTTAAAATATTCAATGTGAATGTAAATACCTCATTAAAATAATTGGCTGACATATTTTGTGATCCATTTAACCTTTTCAAAGCAACCTTTCTAGATTTGGATCTAATTTTTTCCAACTTCCATCATTTTGCCATTTAAATTTTGATTTATTATTAATTCATGTTGCAGAATACACTTTGGCGAATCCTCCTTCACCAATTTCTTTCATATCTGTGAATTTATCAAAAGGCGCCCATTCAAGAAATGTTGGATATCTTTCATGTCTTGCATTATACATAGTATCTTTGATGAATTTATCAATATCAGAATTTCCACTAGTCCATCCTTCAATTACACACCAAGGATCACATTTTTTACACCATAATTTCTCTATAAATGGTTTATCACAATAAGAACATTTATTAGATTCTTTTAAGTCTTGAACTTCATTTTCATGGCAATTTACATCCATTATATTTTTCTACAAAAAAAAAAGAAAAAAATTTTTTCTGTAATTTCAAATAAGGATATAAAAGGAATTATTATGACCAAATTTGGATCAACAGAATATATTTTCCGAACACAAATCAAATAATCGCATACTGCGGTAATTATTAAATTTGGCCAAGCTCTATAACTTTTTATAACTTTAACCTTATTTAGTTGAATCTATAAACAAGGCATTTTCTATGATTTAAATATAAATATATATAACCAAAAATAATTTTTTAAAAAATTTATACGAACGCAATGTTAACAAATTAGTACTTGCTAAATTGGAATATATGAATGAAAAATCAAACACTAACTCAAAACGTAACTAATTCATGTTATTAAGTTCATTAACACTTGTGCACAGAAGTATCTTCTTTAAAATGATGACTTTGAAAATGAAATGTGAGAAACAGGGTGGTGCCTATACAGTTTTATACCTATAATCTATATAAATAAAACTTCCGCACAAAAAAAAATGTTATCGGATAACCTTAATGCTTATTCATAATAGAGTCAATAATTGCGTGAAAAGTCAAAAGAAATGAATATCAACATTTTTACGTTATAAACTTCATGAAATCCTCATAATGGCAAGATTGAGTAGCAAAGATATATGCAATTAAAACATTGATAATATAAAAATAATCATCTGAAAAAGTCTGAAATACAAACAACATAAAAATCATTTTTTTGATCACTCTAAGATTTAACTCGTTTGGCATATTCCGCATAGTCATTTAGTACGAATATCGAATAATTCAAAATATTTTCATGTAGAAAAATTTTTTATTATTATATTATAATTATGGATTAACATGCAGTTTAGCATTACAGGTATAAAATAAACCAACAAATATTTAACGCTAACTGTATTTAATTTAGTGAGGTACGTAAATTGGGAGAAGAATGTATTTTACAAATTATACAAGAAAGTAATAATAGTTCACTATTTTTTAAAAAAATAATTGGTTGAAGTTATATTGAGATGTGAAAAATTAATACGGTTTTTTAGAATAAAAGAAACCTGACTCTGATAAGCATATCGTTATTTATGAATTAATTTTTTAAGGGAAATTCTATACTAATTATTTTATTGGCGTTAAATATTCGGATGGAGGAGCACTCTAATAATAATTTTCCCAGGAAAGATAAATAGAGATATATACATCAAATTCGATAAAATTAACAGATTTTATTTATTTTCCATATATTGATCCCAATTTTATTTCTATTTTTTTTTATAAAAAAAAATATTGGGATGAAAAATAAGATGATAAATAAAGGCTTCAATTTCAAATCTTTTTATGAATATAGTTTTGAATAAGCTAATCCACGTCTTATACTATTAGGATATCGTACTATAAAAATTAAACGTGGAAACATGACATGGTTTGGATTTGGCAGATAAATATATAATCACATGTTTGTCTGATACGTAGAAAAATTTTTAAAAGTATATTTAATCGCTTCAAATAATAAATTTTCTCAATTATTTTACGAAAAACCAAACAAAATTAATAAAAATCTTTCTATAAAGTCCTTTATTTTTAAAAAGATGCATGAATGTAAACGTAAATACATCAAACCCTAAGTAAAAATTGTTCCAATAAAGATAGTAGTTTGGAAAATATAGGTAACAGATATTGCGTTGTGCTTTTATACAAACTTAATGTTTAAAGCACACTTATTTTGTTTATGTCGTATTTACAGAACTGTGCAAAAAATTGTTTCGGACTTAAGAAATGGTATACTAAACGAAGTCAACAATTTGTCAAATGAAACAAAACTGTTAAAAAATTATGGATCAAAGGATTGATGAGAACCCTAGTAGAAGAATTTGATGATGTCGATAGTTATGGTGAATTGAAATTATTGTTACTGAAAATATTAAAAAATACGACAAAAGTAATATGATTATTTTAGGGACTTAAGTTTAACTTTAGCAGAATTTAGAAGTTTATTTGGGCTTAAACAGGAAAGCTATATGACATTCCACGGGATAATACCATACAACAAACTGTAGAACATGTAAAACATGCGATTAAATTATGTAAATTATGTTAAAGTTTTCTCAAGAAAAGGAAGGAAATTACAAATATGTTGGTCGCTTTGGAATGGCCTGAGTTAGTTCTTTCGGAATAAGATTGATAATATTTAGCTCACAATATCAAAAGTTTTGTTAAATATTTCATCATATGGAAGCTTACTATTAAATCGGTTTAATTGATCTGATTTTTGAGACATGCCATTTATGAAATATTCTCAATTTTAGAACATCATATAAAGTAACACGTGCTCACTTTGTGTATAAAATTAAAATTAGTTAAAACTAATAATTTCTATCGCTAATATCAACAATTGAAAACATCACGAGATAAAATTTAAAATTTTGGTCATTTCTTATTATTTTAGAAAATTGTTATCAATGACACATGAATAATTGGAGCTGTAACTTCTCCTGAATACTGGCTTGTTGTAACTTTGAATTTTTTTCATCCAAGATGGTATTTTTAGTTAAAATTAACTTTCCGTTAATATCATAAATATTTTCTACCAATACATTTCCGAAGACTCGTGGTCAAAGCAACATTTTTTAATTAAACTTATTCGCCCTAGTTGACCAATATCAAAATAAGAGTTTTTTTTTAGTGAATAAAAATCACGAGAGGCTAGTACCAATTCCTAAAGTTTTTGCTCAGAATAGTCGCTAATGTCAAGTTCTTTGTAAATAATAATTCTAAATTTCAACTAGCATCTGTCAAGTTTTTAATAAGCTTAAGAAATTAATAACCAGCCCAGAATTGAGAAAATTTGGGCACAGACTTGTGCAGTATTTAGGAAACTGAGTAATTCCAATTAATCGAAAATAAAATTATTATATGTACTACAATTTAATAAATCTTTTGATAAAGGACAGAAGAAATACTGAGAAAATAATACATTATGCAGGTCAATAGAAATAAGAACACTGTTGAATATTCTTAAATGTTAGAAATGAAATAGTATGACGTAGAGACTATTTAATGGTCTAAGTTCTGCCGTTATTTTAAATATTATTTACATCAGTAATAATAAAAGTGACGGATTCATTAAAATTATATTATTGCAATAGAATTAATTACAACACTCAATTTTAAACTATTGATTTTTAGCAAAGGATTAAAAGCATATTAGAGAGTTGCTAGCAAATCACGCTATTGATTATTTGAACGTTTCCTATCAGCTAAATATTTAATTATAAGGAAATTTGAATATCGAATGACTATTTATCTTCATCAAATTGTTCACTTGTAAGATTTCAAAGTTCACCGTTGAATCCTTCATCATATCAGTTAGCAAGTTAACTGCATGAAGGTGCATATTTTCACTGGATTGTATATGTAATTCACGAGAACTCCCCTTAGATTATTTTCCAAGTAATCCAACTACCCTTCCAGAATGTTCTACAAACATCGGGTAAATTCCCAAATGTTCATACTACTAGAGACTAATATTTAACCGGTTAATAACCGATTAAATAAATTCTTTAACCAGTTAATTAACCGGCTAAATTAATTTGTGCGAATCTAGAGAATTTTTTTTTGTAATCATAAAATCTTAATTCTGGGCCAATATTAATTTCCGCCAGAGTTAAAATTACCTACTTTAAATGGTTGGTTAAAGAATAACTTTGAACGATTAACAAAATAATCATCTTAACCGGTTTCTATCTGGTCGTTTTTCTGTCGTATTGCAATTAAGTGATCTTTTTGAATCTCGATGGGCTCACAATTGATTCTCTAAATACCACGTTTATGATTTTTCAATTACAATCTCTTCATCCTTCCACGCTTCCGAAGAGTTTACTTTCCCCCTCAACTATGTAGCACAAGTATATTTGTTGTTTTCGACTATTGCTGGAATTTCTAATCGCCTTCTCACTATTTGTAGACTGCCTTTTGGTTAGGAGTTATTTAATTTTACTGGGTATACTTGGTTATTTTTGCACAAGAGTCTATCTCGCTTATTATCGAAATAGACACAATGATAGTCGTCTAATCAAAACAGTAAAGGAAGGCACTTGACCTAAATTTAACTTTTCAGATGATAAACTTTTTTCTCAACTTATAATTTTAAACCACCCCACCTCAAAGCAATTTTCAAACCAGCCAAAAATCAGTCTCATTATTATACAGTTTGTAGCGAACATGGAACCGGTAAACTACACTGATCAGACTTGTATCAAGAAATTTGGTCGTGGCATTGTATACGTTGATGTTGTTAATAATTTTGGTAAATCAACTTTGCATTAGAGGAGGATTTCTCTTTTAATAATTAATTGAAACGAAAATTGGGCAATATTGATAGTGAGTTTATACCATCGCTGCATTTTATAATATTCAATTGACCCTAATTTCTTTCTTGATAGACTAATCTGATAGTCCGAAGTGGGTGAAGGCCTTGAAAGCTTTTCAACGTGATGCTAAAGCGCATGATGGCTATTATATATGATAACATTAGCCGATTAGATCCAGAAACAATTAGTATCCTTCAAAATGATGCCAAAAATAATGCTGATAGCTGAATATACATTGCAGTGTTTGTCAGCAGCGAAGGCTTAGTTCCAAATAATGGAAAGTAAGTATAGGCATTATTTTTCTCTCTAAGAAATAGTGTTACTTATTTTGTAGATAATTCTTCCTAGTCACGAGCTATTCAACCGATTGAAATTGGTGATTTCACTAAGGAAGAGTCAATAGAATATCTAGTCAACAAACTCAAAATCAAAGAAGAAGCAGCAAGTAGTTTATATGAGTTGATGGACGTTTTATTGATCTAATGTTTGTTGCTGACGAATTTCTAGCTGAACATGCATTTAAAGGTAATACCATTAAACAGCAATCTTAAGTATTACTGAGAAGAAACTTATAAGTGCACGAATCTTCCCAAAACAAAAATATCATAAAGAAGCGCGACAAATTATCAATTCTTTATTGACAACCAAAGAGCTTGAATATATAAAATATTTACAATTTTTCGATAATGTTAAGAAAGCTGATAAAGTATTGGAAAAGAATGTGTTTGCATACAATCCGAGAAAAAATATTGTTAAATTTCAGTGCAAATCGGTAGAATTATACATTAAGATAGAAGCTGATAATTTTGGTGTTAAGCTAATTGATCTCACCCCTGCTGATGAAGATGATGCAACATCTTCATATCAAATGGATACTATGAATATCCTCCTATTACTGAAGAGTTTTCATATCAACATCCATCTAATTTATAATCTCCTAGAAAAAATTAAGGAAAGAAGAATCATATTCCAGTCTCAAGCATTCCCAATAGTACAAATAATGTAAATCCTAATCAATATACTATACTAATTGAGAACTTCAGAAATTTCAAGAGTAAATCGCAATGCACAGCATATTAGAAATTCAAGGTAAAATCTTATTATTATTTATATTGTTTTGTAAAGTAATAAAAGCCATAGGCTTGCTTGAACTTGATTAAGTTAAAAATGATTTCAGTAGATCACATTTAAAGCGAGGAATAAAGCACTAAAAACCATGCCCGCTGGCTCCTAAGCCTTTTACATAGTAAAAATGGTGGCTGCATCTCATCTCACTACTTCACATTACTATTTAAGTATTTACTCATAAACCAATTATCTTTCTTAATATTTCCACCAAGTGCACATATTTCTATTGCTACAAGTGGCATATCTCCCCCAAGATTAATCTTTTTTCAGCCTAAAATTTCCTTGAATTGGGTCCAGACAGAAAGGCTAATGACTTTAAACAATACTAGACCGGAGCCTGAAATTGACCATAATAACAATGTTAGTAATTTAACTTTCTTCGATTATAGAAGGCGGATAATCGGGAAAGAATAAAGAACAAAGTTATTATGTTTTCTTTTCGAATGTATATAATAATGATGACAATGATGTTAATGAAAATGATGATGATGATGAGAACCATGATGATGATGAAGTAGATGAAGTAGAAGAAATTAATAAAGTAGAAATTGAGAAAAATCTGATGAATAATGAAGAAAAGAATAAAATTTTGGGTATTAAAATAGAAGATAATGTAGTATTTTATGTTGAAGATGAAGTAGATAATTCTGAAATTGAAGAAACTGAAGATGAATACATGGAAATTTCATTTAAAAAACAAATGGGTACTTGATTGTAAGGTTTCATTTCGCGTGACATTTTGTGATAATGTTCGCATTACGTTTGTGATAATATTTGCGTAACATTAGTTTGCGCAACAACATTTCATGATTATCAATAATTATTTAATTATATTTTTATTTTTATTTTTAGGAACATAGTCTTTGTTAATCCTACTAATAATTTCTCTAACAATCTCATCTAAATAGTAATTAGAATGCTTTTTTATTATTTCACTTAAAATCTAAAAAAAAAAATTTATGTTTTAATAAATACCATATACAACATAATATATAATAATTAATAAATTAAAAAATATTACCTTCATATTAGATCCATTAAAATCTTTCTTCTACCAGCCTGTCTTTCAATGGGTTTATAATACATCTCCACTTTGAAAATATTTCATTACTCTTGTAACAGTAGTAGGAGCGCTAATTTTCAATAAATCAAATATATTTTTTTAAAGGAAACCCATTATAATACAAATATACTACACTCCACCTAACATGACATTGTATATTTTTAATTAAGAAAAAAACTTACTCATTTATTTTTCTATTTTAGCAGATTATTCACTAGAATTAAGCAATAGATAGAATATAGGAAAAAATTTTACCTTTTTTAGTTTTATTCTAGATCCATAAAAAATTGTTAAGGCTTTGTAACCAGCTCGACTTATTTCTTGATAAAATATAATTATCCAAGTAAAAATATTTTTTATTCAAAGGTTTCAAGATTTGATAAATATATAAAGATATTTATACTATACTTGTTGAATAATTAATAAAATAAATTAAACTAAATATATCAAAGGAAATAAAATTAATATTTTATTAAAAAATAAAGTTAGCAAATAATTAGTGAAATGAACATTATAATAAAGTTGCCAATTATACTGAAAATATCTAAATTTATAAAGAAAACTAAATTAATAAAATTGATATTAGGATCATCAATCAATTATTGACCAAAATTTATCTCATTATAATTTAATGCAAAATTTTTTTTGATATTTTAGATTATTTATTAATTTATAAAAATTTATTTATGAAAATTTTACAATATAATAATTACCATTTAATATATTTTTTGAAAGTTTAGTATATTTATATAAATTAAAATAATAATCAAAGTTTAATTAACTGATTGAATATTTGCCAACCAAATTAATAATTTATTTTAAGTTTTGTATAATAATCTTATATATAAAGAATAATATTAAATATAAAAATTTATTATACTAAAAAAAATTTATATAAACTAATATTTATAATAGCATTCTAATTATAAAAAAAAGTTTAACCTAAATTAACTTTTCTTAAGTTTTAGTTATAAATCTTATAAATTAAATCTTATGAATATTATTTAAATCAAAGATAGACTTATAATAACTTAAGTTATATAAGTACAAGTTAATCTTAATATATTTTAATTATTTACATTTAATTATACTGTGTATAGTAATAATTTATTTAAATTACTTATATGATTAATCATTAGTAATATTTAAAGCTTCTATTAAATTAAAATATATATTAGAATTAAACTAATTAATTATTTAATAAATTTATAAATATTATAATAATTACCAATATTTTGACTAATTATTTTTAGATTTTCAGTTTCATGATTCAAAATGTTATTTAAATTTTCAGTAAAATCAAGTAAACGACTTGTATGATATGCTTGTGAATGAGATTCTTCAGATATTTTATCACTATTAGTATTATTATTTTGATTTTGATTTAATATTTTATCTGCTTTATAAAATTCTATAATATCATTTATTAAATTTTTATCAAAATCCTTAGTAATAATATTTTTATACCAATTTTCAATAATCTTTTTAATTTCTAATGCTGTTGGTCTTTTTAATGGATTCTCATCCCAACATTTTTTCATTAAATTTGTATAACATTTTGGAACATTTTTTATATCTTCAGGACGTTCACCTTTACAAATATTTAAACCAAGTTGAAGATCATAAGCTTTATGATTAAATGGAGTAACTCCAGATATTAATCCCCACATAATCATAGAAAAGCTATATATGTCACTAGTTAAAGTAAAAGTTTGACCTCTTAAAATTTCAGGTGCTATAAATGGTAAAACACCATAAATATCATTTTTTTTAGATGATTGTAAATATTCTACAGGTTTACATAACCCTAAATCACTAACAGATAAAATATTTTTTCTAACATTTAAAATATTTCTATAATGAAGATCACAATGAATAAGATTTTTTTGATGTATTTCATCAAGTCCACTAATAATATTATATAATTGTAATAGTTTAATGATCCATCTATTCTTAACCATATTTGATAAATTTTTTCTTAAATTACTATTTTCTGCATATTTCATTACTATCATATAATTTAATGTATATGGATCTTGAGTAAATCCATATAATTGAATAAGATTTTCATTTGAATATTGTTTTAATTGACTATAGCATTCATAATGATGTTTCCACTAAAATAATAAAATTAATTAAAAAAAATAATTATTTAAAATTAAAATAATTATTAATTTCATACCTCATCTAAAACTTCTTCATTTAAATTTGATGAATTATTAAAACTTTTAAGAGATACTATTATCTTATTATTTCTAATCCAACTTTTATTACTATATGAATAAGATTTAATAGATCCATCCAACCAAATAGCTTTGTATATAGTACTAAATCCTCCTTTATCAAGATATTCAATATTTATAAATTGATCATAAGAAATCCATTCTAAAATTTGCCATTTATTTTTAGCATTTAGTTGAATATCTTGAATAAATTTATCAATAAATTTATTTTTGCTAGTCCAATTTGAAAAATTTTCTTGAAGTAATTTAGAATTACATTTTTTACACCATTTATATCCAGTATAAACTTTATTACAATTTATACATTTTTCTATTTTTCTAAATAAAAAATCCATATTAATTTTAATATTATAATTATATAAATAAAAATTTAATACTTACTAAATTTGATGAATTATTATAATTAAACAGATTTTCAACTTATTATATATTAAAAATATAATTAAATATAATAAAAATAACTTACCATCTATTATATTATTTATTAATAAATTATTTTAAATAAAATTTTTAAAATTTAAAATAATTAAATATTGATGATTAATAAAAATAATATACCATCTATTATTTATATTTAATTATTTTATTTTAATAAAAAATTTAATCAAATTTAAATTATAATAAAAAGTATAATTTAAATACTAATAATCAATAAAATAACTTACAAGCTAAAATTATAATTATTTTTTAAATAAAAGATTTAGTTAATATAAATTATAATAAAAAGTATAATTAAATACTGATAATCAATAAAGATAACTTACACACTTTAATAGAATTATTGATTTAGAAATAAAAATTTAATAAAATTTAAATTACAATAAAAGTATAATTAAATACTGATAATCAATAAAAATAACTTACAATCTATTGTATTATTAATTATTTTTTATTTTTTAAATAAATAAATCAGTTGATTTTAAATTACAGTAAAAAATAAAATAAATACTGAAATCAATAAAAATAACTTACCATCTATCATTAATAATTAATATTTTTTTAAATAAAAAGTTAGTAGAATTAATTCAGTAAATAGTATAATTATATATTGATAGTTAATAAAAATTACTTACGATCTATTATATTATTAATTATTAATTAATTTTTTAAATATAAAATTTAGCTGGTTTGAGTTACAAATAAATATTGATAATTAATAAAAATATTTTACCATCTATTAATTAATAATTGTTTTTTAAATAAAAAATTTTGTTAAGTTTTAATTACAGTAAAAAGTAAAATTAAATACTGATAATTAATAAAAATAACTTACATCCTTTAATAATATTTTTGATTTTTAAATAAAAATTTATTAAGTTTAAATTGTAATAAAAGTATAAATAAATACAAAAAATTAATAAAATAACTTGCCATCTATTATATTATTAATTATTGATTATTTTTTAAATAAAAGTTTAGTTAAGTTTAAATAACAGTAAAAATTAAAATTAAATACTAAAATTACTTAAATTACTTACAAACTGGTAAATTAATTGTTTTAAATATAAAATTTAGTTGAGTTTAAATTATAGTAAATATACTAAATATTTATAAAATAACTTACGCCCTTTAATAGCATTTGATTTTAAAATAAAAAATTTAGTTAAATTTAAATTACAATAAAAATTATAATCCAATACTGATAATCAATAAAAATAATTTACACCCTTTAGTATTATTTTTAATTTTTTAATAAAAATTTAGTTGAATTTAAATTATAGTTAAAGTATAAATAAATACTATTAATTAATAAAAATAACTTACAGGCTAAAATTTTAATTATTTTTTTAAAATAATAAATTTAGTTAAGTTTAAATTACAATAAAATTATAATTAATTACTAAAAATTATAAAAATAACTTACATCCTTTATTAGTATTATTTTTTAATAAAAAATTTAGTTGAGTAAATGTATAATTAAATACTAATAATTAATAAAAATACTTACCTCCTTTAGTAGAATTTTTGTTTAAATAAAAAATTTAATAATATTTAAATTATAATAAAAAATGTATTTAAATACTATTAATTAATAAAATAACTTACCATCTAAAAGATTAATTATATATTAAATAAAAATTTTAGTCAAGTTTTAATTACAATAATAAATATCATTAAATATAAAATATCTTACAATCTAAAAAATTATTTTTTTTAATTAAAAAATTTTAGTTAAATTGAAATTATAGTAAAATACTAATAATTAAAAATATAACTTACTTCCTTTAATAGTATTTGATTTTAAATAAAAAATTTAATTAAGATTAAAATACTGTAAAAAGTATAATTAAATACTAATAATCAATAAAAATAACTTACCGTCTATTATATTGTTAATTATTGTTTTTTTAAATAAAAAATTCAGTTGTATTTAAATTATAATAAAAAGTATAATTAAATGCTGATAATTAATAAAAATTACTTACTATCTATTATATTATTATTAATTAATTATTTTTTTAAATAAAAAATTTAGTTGAGTTTAAATTATAGTAAAAGTATAATTAAATATTAATAATCAACAAAAATAACTTACTATCTATTATATTATTAATTATTAATTATTTTTTTAAATAAAATTTTTGTTGTTTAAATTATATTAAAATACAAATAATCAAAAATAACTTACTTCCTTTAGTAGTATTTGATTTTAAATAAAAAATTAGGTGAGTATAAAGTATAATTAAATACTAATAATCAATAAAAATAACTTACTTCCTTTAGCAGTATTTTTGATATGGAATAAAAAATTTAATTGAGTTTAAATTACAGTAAAAATATAATTAAACACTAATTAATAATAAATAAAAATAATTTACCCCCTTTAGTAGAATTATTGATTTTAAATAAAAAATTTAGTTATGCTTAAATTACAGTAAAAGTATTAACCAATAAAGATAACTTACAATCTAAAAGAATGATTGTGTTTTAGATAAAAAATTTTAGTTGAATTTTAATTGCAGTAAAAAATATAATTAAATACTAAAATAACTTACAATCTAAAAAATTAATTTTTTTAAATAAAAAATTTAGTTACGTTTAAATTATAGTAAAATACTAAAGCAAAATAATCAATAATAATAACTTACCATCTCAAATATTTTTTAAATAAATATTTAGTTGAGTTTAAATTAAAGTGAAAGTATAATTAAATAATGATAATCATTTAAAAATAACTTACAATCTATTTTATTATTAAATATTTTTAAACAATTTTAGTTTTATATAAAAAGTATAATTTATTAAATAATATTATATATCTTACTTTCTATATTATTATCAAAATAAATAAATAATATTTTTATTAAATTACAATAAAAATTATTATTAGATGCTAATAATCAATAACATTAACTTACCACCTATAATATTTCAAATAAAAATTTAGTAAAAGCTAAATAATTATTAAGTATAATAATATATATATTTAAAAATAACTTACCGACTAAATATTAGAAATTTTTTAAGCTGAATTATTTAAGTTTAATTATAATATAAAAATAATAAATAACTTACTCCCTATAGTATTTTAGTATTTTATAATTAATAAATATTGTTTTAATAATACAATTTAAAAAATAGTAGAGTTTTAATAGCTTACAATCTATAAGTATTATCAAAAATTAAATTTTATTTTTTAAAAAAAATAAATGTTAAAAATTATAATTTCAATTAAATTAATGAAATTTCTTTACATACCGTATAATTCTTTTAATGTAGGGGCATCAGAATCATTCGATATTGGCTCTATCATAATGTATTTATTGAAAAAATATTAGAATATCTAACCTCAATAAACTCATTTGAGGCATGTTAATTTCATACCTTTTAGTCCTTTTTTTTGTTTGAAAATATTTTTCAGTTTTTCTATTACACTATTACCTTTATTGTTTCTATCAGACATACTATCGCTATAAAATAAAATAATATAAAAATAAAAAAAAAAATTTATTTTCAACCCAAATTTTCTTTTGTATAACGATATGCACAGCATTTGTTTGTATTACAATCCAGATTAGTATTACGTAGTTCGAAACTGAAAGTTACATAGTAACAATTCAAGAAAAAAATTAAAACTTTACAATTTTACACAGGGTTTATGAAACGTTGTTCATATAAATTACGTCCTTGCGAAAAATCTACGGCTAATCGAAAGCTGGGGGAAATTGGAGAAAGAAATATAAAACTTGATGATATTTTCTTACATTCGGTCAAAATACCATCGTTTTTATACCTAAATTCAAAAATGATAATTTTTCTAGAGGGACAAATTGATTAGAGGAGGAAATTCTTGACAAATGGACATTTTGGCCAGCCGTGGTAATTTTGGCTTATTATGATCGCCCAATTCAAGAAAACAACACTATAAAACAATAAAATGTATGCATATTAATTAATTAAACATTATAACAATGGTGATATTATTCATTTTCATATTTCGAGGGAATAATTTACCATTGAAACAAACATAATCGTAATATGAATTGCATACAAAGAATAAATATAAACTATTAATAAGGATTCATTTATGTGGATTTAAAGTCTTCTATAAAAAAACTTTACATTAATTTTAACATTACGATCATTATTTAGCTTTGAAATTGACTATATTTTACAAAAAATAAAAAAATCACACAACATTTGACGACATTTCAGAAATTTATTTTATATACTTTATTAATAAATTTGGTGACTTTTGTCCGGGTGGTATGGGTGGTGTATCTTCCAGATTTATAAAATATCGAATGATCTCATTGAAGCTTTTAAAAGGTTCCTATTTATGAATCCGCGGGTTGTAGACTGAAATTGATGGGTGATGTAATAGGTTGATATGATATTTTAATAAAAAGATCAAAATTTACGAAAACAAAAACTCTTGATTAATGCTACATAATGAATCGATGGAGGACTTGAGATTGAGGTCGTCATTATGATTCCATTATCAGAGAAAATCTTTTGGATTTATCAGGAAGTCAAGCGAGGAAAATTATTAAAATTTTACATTCTTCTCCATAAAATTCGAGCGGCAACTTCACACCAACGTCGGTTTACTAATTAGCATGAAAATAAACCTTCCATTTCATCTTTCAAGTATTCAAAAATTTCATTTAAACAATCAAAGGGGAGTTCACGAGTCATATTTTTAGAGTGAGAAAATTAAAAAGATAGTAATGTAGATGTAATCTGGGTGATTTATACAAACATAAATTCGTGATGGTGGTCATCAGAACTTGGAAGTATTTTTAACTTAATATACTGTATGTTAGAATGCTAAAAGGAATATAGACGATATTTAAATTTAATTCATGTTATCAAAATTAAAATCGTTTAATTACGAAGAAGAATGATGTTATAATTACCAAGAAGGACCGGAAGAATAATTATGTTCTACTAAATCTTGTTTATATTCTGAAACATCAAAATTTCTTAAGGAAAGATTCTTAAGAAACAATGTTAGATTACCAAGAAGTTTCTGTTTAAGTGAAGTAAAGGGACAATCTATAATATCCACCCGAGCAGATTTGTAAAAATCCAGATATTTTTTTTTAAATCCTCCCTTCGGTATAAGGTCGCTCATTTTAAAAGTTACGAATGGTGGACACATGCTAAGTTCCTAAAATCCAATTGATGTTCAACCTTCTTAATTAATACCTTGCTTCTACTTAGGCGTGATGATAACAAATTTGACATCGAAAGTAAAGCTGCTCGTAAAACTAATCACATTCCGATGCTTGGTAAGGATGTATACGTGTTCCAATGGTTAATCGTAAACAGTTTCAACTTTCAAGCCATAATATACCAACTACCTTTAAATTTAAATAACAAGGAACTCTTAGTATCATCATAATGAGTGAATTTTCGTACTTTTTAATTCAATTTCAAATAAAAAATAAACTAATACGTGTATCATGAATCTTTTAATTATGTTAAATTTAATCAAGTAATTTGTAATTTACGTAATAAAACGTATCGAGATAATACCTCATCAACGTATTTTAACTTATAATAAATTTACTCGACATCTAATTGATCCATATGATAAAGAAGAATTGAAAAATGGCATTCAGTCGATTGGATCTCAAAAGAATTTTATTATGTTCCACGTTATTACTCATAGCATTTGCGCTCTGAAGTAGAAATACTGAGTTTATCATTTTTTATAATGTGAAAATAACTTAGAACATAAAATGTGTTAGTGGCTATACTGTCAAATTCGTTGAGATGCATATTAATCATTTATACTTTTTTTTTTCTTTTTACGATGCATGATTACTAGTACAAAGGTGAAAGAAAAACGACAGTTGCATCATTGCACCTACAAGCCACATGATGAGTATTAAGAATATCTCAAGAATAGAAAAAATCTCCGATTTTACTAAGAAATGGAATAACAATTAGCAATGTGGTGGAAAATTTTTACAACATGCATATCCGACATACAATCGATCGCGGTTTTATTCTCGATCGATTGAAAAGTTAAGTTAAATGATACTTACTTCCTTTTAATATCCATCAGCAAATATGAACAACGGATAACCATAAATGTTTATTTCACATACACGTGAGTCAACACTTGCGGGAAAAGTCAAAAGAAATATTATCTACATTTTAGCTATAACCCTCGTGAACCACCATCCAAGCATCAAATTTATTGTTTAATAATATTTCCGATTCAAACTTACCAATCCGCATCATATTCAAGAAAATATTTTTATCATAAGAACGCCCACCGTGAAGATGCTTACGAAATCATGCTGGCGATCACCATCATGAGATCAAATATGCAGAAAGGATCAAGTATTTTAATATACTTGCTTTGACTTTGAACATCTTTTATTATATTAACATTGTGATGACTTTGATCGAGAATTAAGCCGAGGAAGTAAATTAACTTTCTTTGTTATTACTTTGCGGAATATACTCATTTGTTTGATGATCAATGATATTGATGATATAATGGTAAGTTTATTTCGTTTGATTTTGGCTTTATTGGAAATAGGTATCACTAAACAGGGACTTACCTTTTTTTATGGATTGTAGTACCACTGCCTCCGCCGCTACCACTGGTATCACCACCACGATCGCTACTTTTATTATTTTGATCACGGTTATAAATTCTTGCAGAGGATTTTTCATTTGTTTGATGATCAATAATATTATTAAGAGCATTAAAATTCTTTTGGCATTCTAACTGTATTCTACTATCCTGGACCTTAACAAAATAAACTTTCTCATTAATGAGATCTGATTGTTTATTGATTCTGATCTTAATGAACTGAAGTGAAATATTCTACAATACGAGGAACAATCTCTCGAAATTAAAACAAATACAACATAATAATATTATTAATGATAAAATTACTGTCAAATTACATCCACAAGCATATTATACTAGTCAATTACTTAATTTTACTGAAAAATTAAATGATATTTTGGATCAAGAAATTAGTCAAAGTATTGGTAGTATTGGTAATTATTATATTATATTATTTTTATAAAATATAAATATATTAATATAATTAATATTAATATATTTATTTAATTTAATAGAAGTCTTAAATTTATAAGAGTTTAAATAAGTAATTTAAATAAAGTATTAAATTATTTTCATAAATAGGTAAAAAATTATTTGTTTTATTTATTTTTTATAAATATTTATAAATATTTATTTAGTAACACTATATATAGAATATTTTTTATCAAAAATATAGTTTGTAATTGCTAAAATAAAATTTATATATAATTTAAAGCAATTTTGATGATAGATATAATGTATTAATATATATTATAATTATAAATTGTGAATATTTTAATATTATTAATTATAAAATTAATATATAAACAAGTAAAGTTTCTTTTAAAATTATATTATACTAAATTAAATAATATACTTAGTAAATCCATTAAAAGGTCTTGATTCTTATAAAATACTTATTTTATATTTTAATAATTTAAAAATAAAAAAATAGCTTTATAATTAGTTAATAAAAATTTTCTAATTTGAAATATTATAATACTTTTAAAATATTAATAGTTATAATAGTGTATGTATTATACAAGCATTTTCAATATGAGAGCTGAGATATTAAATGTGGATTACGAGACTAGTAAATTGATTTTGAGTATTGATGATCAAAAAAATATTTATGCTACAATAAACGCTCTTAGCTAATAAATTTGCACTAAAAATAATATTGAGTCTAATCAATTAATAAGGTGATACTTTAATATTTACAGTTTATTTTTAGAACAAATTAAACAAAACTGAAACAAATTTTTTTTAAATTTTTTTATTTCGTATTACTATGTCAATAACGTTGATAATAAAGAAAATAACTCAACCACTTTTTTAGATTTTTGGACAAATGGTGCAATTTTATAACCATATTTTTTCGAATTCACGCTATTAAGATTATAAAACATGATTGCTGATTTAGTTTTAATGTGTCATTTCTCGAGTATGAAATTTATCAAATTTTTTGGTTAAGTTCCATCAAGTTGTTTGGAAAACTGAATTAGGGCAAACTGTATTTTTAACAAAGACACATTCTTTTGCTTTTTTTTATTCATCATAAGTTAGCCCATTTTTTACGTGTATTTAAAGTATGTGGGTTATCTGAAAGAAGAAATTTTGATTAAAATCCAAATCCCATGTTCGTGTACAGATAGAAGAATCACACACAACCTTATCAAAAACATCTATTATGTATTATAATTTGTTTCGCTAGTTTCACATTGTGGGATTTAGATAATAATTGATTTTTATTTTTAACATAAACATAAATAAAATGTCCAAAAGTTTTCTCATATATATAATTTAAAGTTTTTATGGTAAGGGTTAATCACACGACATGACTTAATTTGTAAGTTGAGCAATAACATTTCTAAATGAAATTATACCTGCAGTTGTAGCAAAATATCCTGCATAACATATATCTATTTCTTGATCATATTTATCCTTCAACGCGACTTTTCAAAAAGATTTTAATGATTATCACTTCACACGAATTTTTATTGGTTTATGTAAATGACAGGGTCATTCGATGGTATTTGAGTGTCATTTCAAAATAGTCAAATGACCTGGTCATTGCCATCACTGATTTACGAAGATACATGAAAGATCGAAAAAGAATAATCTGGCAACAAAATTGTGCGAAACTGGCAAAAAAATAAAAATTGTTATTGTGGCTAATAAAAATATTGGGTCACTTAAATCCAGAAAATTCATAATGGACAGCTATAAAATTTATTAATTCATAAAACCTAAAATATATAATCTGAAAAACAAAAAAAAATACTTAGAATATGCTATTACATAAATTAAAAATGAAATTATCCTAATGGATTTCATATCTGTTTAACTTGAAATACTTCATATTCTTCAATAGAAAAATAATCCGTAGATTCTCTGATTGCTTTTTCATAAGAACTCATTATGCATTTACTCTTATCAAAGGATTTATCTCCATATATATGAATATCTGTTCTACCAAATGATGGACCAATGAACGCCCCCTTTTTTATAGCAAATTCATTATATTTCACTCGACTTAGAATATGATTTTCAACGTTAAATGAAAATATAAAACTTTCTTTGGTGTCGCTAAAATTTGTCTTTAAACTAGGTACCCATGCAATAGGATTGTATCCTCCAAGAATTTCGTTGCAGTCTTTTACTTTATAAATCGTTAAAGTATGAGCTTGGTTATTGCAGATTTTTTGATAGCTTACACATGTAAATCCATCACGAGATCCACGAAGTAGTAATTTAAATTCACATGGACTTTTTAATTCGTTCTGATTATCCATTCCATTAATCCATTTTGAGATTAATTCAGCACGTTCAACTGTAATGATTTTTGAATCAATATTTTTCGAACCAATCATTTTGATCTCTTTAGTTATCTGAGGTTTTGATTCATCACTTAGCATATAATCATTGTCTAAAAAGCGTTTAACTAAATCTAAATATAATTCCTTTGGTAATGCTTTCTTGTATGGAAAAACTTTGCTCAAAAATTCCCTGGAAGTCAAATTATAAAATCCAATAAATGGGATGCATTGTCGTAAGGTATTCTTCAAAGCATTGAAATCATCCTTTGTATATTCGGAAGGGTCTGAAGAAATTTCAGGATTTTGAGCGATTCCCCATTTAAGTACATGTTCCCAAACTTGAACATCACTTCTCGAAAGGTTTTCATTTTGAATAATTGAAATCAAAGATTTTTCTGAAATTGAAGCAAAATCAATGGAATTTAATATTTTTTCCGGCTCCTTAGACATCAAATTGGTACAAAATTTTTGAAGCTGCAAGAAAGAATCATGTTTAAAACTTGTTTGATATATCAAATTAAAATTTTGTTCCATCCACGTTGCTTTATTTTCAATCAAAAATGATTGTAAGTGGATGACTAATTCTTGAAGGCTTAATTCACTGGCAGCGACCAAGATATTTATAACATCTGAAGTATCATACTCCTCCAAAGAAAGTTTTGCGCCATAAATGTATCTTTAAATAAATATTCATTTTGGTAAATATCAAAAATATAAATTATAAAAAAAAAAATAAACCTAATGTTATTTCAAATTACCTCAAAATTTCGTGAAAACTTTCAGGTAAAATATTTGGTAATTTAATATGTACCAAAATTCCATCATTTCCCTTTTTATTAGCTGACAAAACTCTTTGCAAATAAGGAGAACGATAATTTAAAATTATCATATGAGCACGAAATACTTTTACAAATGGATCCTTTCCAACTTCGATCGTAACATCATAATATTCATTATCCTCTAAACATTCGAGTAGATTTTGTGATAATTTTTGTAATAACTTATTGTCGGCCATTATTTTAAGAAGAAAGAATTATAAAAACCCTAATTTGAATTAATTAATTTCCTGAGTTGGAAATAAATTTTTAAATCATTTCATGTGATGGCATCGAAATGTATGGCAAACCGCAGATCTTTATTTATTTTTTTGTTTTGGCAATTTGGCTGATATTGTGTACGCCCTGCCCTGCATTATATAATACAGTTATCGTAGTTAAAAAAAAAATAAAAAAAAAAACTATTTTACCTCTACAAAATGACGTGACGTTTCAAAAAAAAAAAGGTCACCAAGCTACATAAGCAAAACTCACTTAAACTTCATAAGCAACAAACTGTTGCAAAATGAATATACTACGTAATTCATTGTGAAAACATCTTCAAATGGCAAGAAATATCGTCAAACTTTCAGGATCGAACAACTAATTGTCACTGCTTGTTCTAAAGTGAATACGCATTGATCACATTCAAGCAAATTTTATAAGTTTAAATATGCTCAGTTTGATGATGAATACGACATGGCAGGTGTGTTAAGAAAGTGCTTTTAAATGATGTGATCGCGAAGACTTAAAATATAAATGTGACGAACGATAGGAAATTGGAGAATTCTCAATTCCATCATGTAAGATTTTTTTTTTTTCTCTTGCATTATAGTGTTTTGCGAAAAATCGTATAAATTCAGAAGTTGATTGAAAAAGATCAAATAATTAAATTGTCGGTAGGAGATAAAAATTTTTTTTTTGTTAATTAATTTCTGATATAATTTTAATAGAATTACCGTTATTTCCGAAATTGAAAGAAGCAAACTAGGAATGCTAAGGACTGTATTTTAATGGTCTTTAATGGCGACTACAAATCTTTGGCAGTTGTCGGGGTTTTTCGAAGTTGGTCGTAACAATTATGGAATTTTCCCACTCTGGGAATAACTTTTAATACTCGCGAAGATACTCACTCCCAGAACATGAATTTCTCAGAGGTTCAAAAAATAAAGCACATGAAGAAAGGAAATAATAAGTTAATTACAATATGAGCATCTGATGATCATGACGGATCAAGATTGCGATCGAAGCCATATTAAAGGATTGATAATCAATTTCTTGAATCATTTATTTTTTTCTCCTCGCTAATAATTCCAGTCTTTTCATGGGAATTTGTCACATTTATTATAAAGGTATGAAATCATTTAATCACGCTAATACATAACCTTGAGATCCAACCATAATTAACAATTTTTATTAGTATACGAAGGGTCATAACTAAGTGAAAATGGAGATGACCCTGATGATAAAATTTGGAAGGTCAAATTTAAAGAAAGTTTATGGTCGCAAGAAATGTTTTAAGTAATTATTAAGTTATTAATTATGTATAGAATTCTTTTCTGTTTTTACCTTTTTCCAGAATGTAACCTTTTTAAAAAGAAAATACACTTCTGAAATTTATATTCTTATAGACCGGCACCTACATCATGATAAGCAAGAAATCACGATAACGTATTTATAAATAAAAAGTTGATCTTTTCAGTTGAGCCGACACTCGTTCTCGAAGTATTGAAACCTGGCTAGCGAAAAGATTTTAAGAAAAATTTCAACAACGAAATAAAAGTTTCTTCGTTAGCCGAGGCTGTTTTAGATTAAATAGTATATCACCATGTTGATGCAAGTATTCAAGATCCATTCATCGCAATACATCAATATCATTCACGAAGGTCAGTTTGGTACAAGCGCTCAAAGAGGAAAAGAATACTTGGAAACATTCATCTTCATGACTCATTACTATCATATTGTAATGATGACGGTCAGTTGTAGAACCAGAATGAACCGACAATGGACCTTGTTAGTGGAAGAAGGGTATCGTTAATAAACAAAAAACTGCCTTTTATAGTATTTCACAATATTTCCGCATTCGTGGGTTCCAAGTAACATTATTAATAATAATTCCTTTAACAGAATCCTTTAACAGACTTGGATTCTCTAAATATTAAATTATTTTCTCATAATTTATAGGATAAAAATAAGTAATGACCAACAGCTTGAATTGTATGATAAAGGCCCTTTGAGAATCGCGGCTATTGAAAAATTAGAGTCCAATGGCTTTGAAAGATATACGGACGACAATCAGACGAAAAGGATCTACTTTGAATAAATAAATAATTATTCTAAAGGATCGAAAATGAACTTTATTCGTGTCGTGACAGATTGAATAACGTTGAATTTGATTTTAAGTTCGGTCAATGTATTAATAATCTTTGGGCTAAGAGCCGAAATTGATTTTATGAATATTAATAATCAAATAAAAAATCGAATCTATCTTTTTGGTGTTTTTAGTAGCACATTCAAAAAATCAAATACTTTTTTCATAATATAAAAGATCAATTATAATAATTTAGTCTCAGTTTTAATATATATCGGCCGGAAAGGGAATGAAAGGAGACATAATGTCAAAATCGAATCAGATTATATCTGTAATTTTGTATATCGTATGATAAGTAATTATGAGATGATTTTACGACAGGTCGAACTACCCCGAATTATTAGGTCTTTTTACCTACAGGACGAACATTACTAAAACAGAAAAATATTCATCACGAAACATAATCAATGAACCGATCTCGATTACCTCATTCATACGAACCAGCCCAGCGTGACTTGCTTCATCAAAAGCAACTGCATTGAATTACATGCTTAACAAGCTCATCTTGCCAAGAACCCACCTTCGCCAACTTCGTACACTGATTTCAATCCTTGAACAAGTAGCTTTAATAATAAAAAAAAAACAACTGGAAAATAATGTACATCGAACTGTATCGAATTCTAAACAGGGTCATACTTACTGTACAGTTGATACAATACTTCCAAATCATCGAAAATGCCGAACCCTATGCATTGAACTCTACACTGTAATTTCGCTCGAAATTTCCGTTATTTTTCGTGGTTTACGTAAAATTTCCGTGATTAAGATTATAAATTCCATGACAAAGAACCCTTCACGAAAAAAAACACGGAAAACAAACCACGGATCTACTTCTTTATAGAGTGTCAAAGATCAGCGCCCCAAGTATAAACAGCTCTAAGTGAAATGAAGTCGGAAATAGCGCTATATTTACAGATCTCGTAAAGGTTACGATAATTGATTGTCCTGTATCATCAACATCAACGACCTTTTCTACTATGAGCGCTCAATACATCCCAATAATAGTTTCGCCAGTTTATGTCAAATTTCATCGATCAAGAGAAAACCATCTCACTTCTTCAACTTGGCGAGAATATAGGGATCTAAGGAAAAGATGTTCCTTCTTACTCGTTTATACGTATCCACCTACTACATGTACTTGAACGTTCCTCCCAGCAAACTCGATCGACGAAAATAAACCCTTTTTGTGACGTCAGCTCATTCCACGAATTCGACCTACTCGAGAGATACTCATTCTCTCCATTACAACTTGACAATTTTCTCTCGAATTACATCGTCAAACGTTAAAAAAGAAATCATCGATAGGTATGTTTGAAGTGGGGAAAATCTATTTTTATCAACGATTGTTGTTATGTATCCCATCAAGGAACGAATTGAGGCATGCTTATTAATCTTCATCTAAAAATCTTTAAAAACAATTGCTATAATCTCGCTACTTCTTTTAGTTGCAAAAATCGAATTACTGATTCACATAAACTTGCGTCTAGCTCATTGTATTGCACTGTGAAATTTTCATGTGTTGGAGGCTATTTTTCATTCTAAAAAATTCGAGTATAAATTATTCTTTTACATAATCATCTGATGCAACCAAAAATAAACAAACTACGATTGGCGCAGCAGCTGCAGTGCATATAAATATGTCTGCCATATCAAATATGTTTTATATATCTCATTTATTTTATTTATCTGTTTTATTTATTATATCTGTTATATTAATTTTATTTATTAAATTTACTATTAACTACAATGTGAATCCCATTAATTAAATCCTACATAAATCGTACTAAATTGGAATAAATTAGGCGTTTGTTGACTTGAGGAAGAAAGTAAATCTCAGGTCAACACCGGTAAAGACTTTTTGTATCCTCTTTGTAGAGAAGAATCACATAATAATATTTTAACATTAAAATAGGTTATCATATTTTCTTAACCAAAATTTATGATGTAATGTAATTAATCTCAACGAGCATTTAAATGTACAAATAATAGCTAAATATCAAAACCTTCAAGTATTGCCGTCTATCACATATTTAAATATATAAATATTTCATTAAATTACCTTTAGCTAGAAAGTTCTAATTCATGTAATTGAGAATCTTGAAATATTAAAATGCATAAAAGTTAATATTTATATTTTATTATTGAAAATC